GGTGGGGTTTGGGGGGGGGTTTGTTTGGGGTGTTGGTTTCCCTGAAGCGGGGTTCCAAAGAGGATGGAGCTCCGCTGTTCTCAGTGGTGGCAGACGACAGAACAAGGAGCAATGGTCTCAAGTTGCAGTGGGGGAGGTCCAGGTTGGATATCAGGAAAAACTATTTTTCTAGGAGGGTGGTGAAACACTGGAATGCGTTACCTAGGGAGGTGGTGGAGTCTCCTTCCTTGGAGGTTTTTAAGGCCCGGCTTGACAAAGCCCTGGCTGGGATGATTTAGCTGGGAATTGGTCCTGCTTTGAGCAGGGGGTTGGACTAGATGACCTCTTGAGGTCCCTTCCAACTCTGATATTCTATGATTCTATGAAAGCAGGACCAATCCCCAGACAGGTTTTTGCCCCAGATCCCTAAATGACCCCCTCAAAGATTGAACTCATTGAACATTCACTTTTATCTCTATTCTGTTACAATGTAATAGCAAAGATTTACATTGTATATACCCCTGTAACTAACTAATCCATCAAATTAGAAAGAAGCCTTGTGTAGTGCAAAGGAAGAACTTTAACAGAAAAGTGCTAATTTCAAAGCCAGTAGTCACTGTGTGTGATGATCGGAGATCAAAGACACTAAATGCATTCCTTGTTCTCCCTCATCGAAGAAACACCTAGTGTGGATAGTGAGCCTGTCAGCTTGTTTTCTGTAAGAAGAAGCTATACGTATGGATGCAAGGAAAAATTCTTCATCTCTGGGACTCTTACAGGACAGAATAATGAAATGAGAAGACAGAGTTCCCCAGTGTAACTCTGGGTAGCCCTAAAAGACTATTGGGAAACTGGCAGATGACTACATCTCTGCTACCATTTGGAATTATAGACTGTGACTCACCTGTACATACAGGTGCTGACTTTCCAATGTGCCCCAGGCCACACCCTCACCCACCTCTTCCCACCCCTGCCCCACCCCCTCCCCTGAGCGTGCTTCATTCTTGCTCCTCCCCCTCCCGCCCAGTCTCCCATGCCCCACAAAGCAGCTGATTGCAGTGGGTGGAAGGTGCAGGGAGGGAGGGACAGACGTTGGTCAGTGGGGCCTGCTGGCAGGCAGATGGTGCTGGGGGGAGGTTCTAATAGGGGGGCTGCCAGTGGGTGCTCAGCACTCACCATTTTTTTCCCATGGGTGCTCCAGCCCCAGAGCACCCACAGAGTTGACACCTATGCAGCTGTACACATATTTTACTAGGGTTAACTGCTCAATAACTCTCATATCTTTTCCCTAGCTAATAAACCTTTAGTTTACTATAGAATTGTCTACCAGCATTGTCTTTGGTTTGAGATCTAGGATGCAAATCGACCTGGGGGCCTGACAGTCTCTTGGTACTAGGTATCAGAGGGGTAGCCGTGTTAGTCTGTATCCACAAAAACAACAAGGAGGCTGGTGGCACCTTAAAGACTGACAGATGTATTAGGGCATAAACTTTTGTAGGTTAAAAAACCCACTTCTTCAGATGCATGGAGTGAAAATTACAGATACAGGCATAACTATACAGGCAGTTTTGACACAACTAATTCAGTCAGGGGGATGTGGTCCACTCCCAATAATTGAGGAGGAGGTATCAATACCAAGAGAGGGAACATTGCTTTTGTAAAAATTGCTCACTACAATTTTGGGGGGTCTGCCTCGCATCTGACAGTCTGCCCTGAGGTAGGCACTCATGGCCGTCAGCATGACCATGGATACCCAGGATAACATAACTGAGAAATAAAGTTACATTATAGCATGGTGCGGTGGTAATATTTTAAATTTATACTTATTTTTCATGTAACTGCTCTCTCATCGGCATAACACAGTCTGCAGTAAGGATTTAGTCAGTACAAATTATTCACAGCCCTGAGTGACGTCCTTATCCTGATATCAGTTTGTAGTGTGGACCAGAGCTTGGGCTCCTATTTTGGTGGCTCTGGGCCTACTGCACCCTAAAGAACAAAAAGACAAATAAAAACCCAAAATTCTTAGTTTTTATATATATATAAAAAAGAAAGTCATGCCTTGTTAGTGTAACTCATGTTGTTTGAATTCTTGTGGTTGTCAATCTATTTTGGAGTTGGAGATGTATGCTCAGCAAAAATTACAGCAGACGTTTGCTTTTGAGAAGGATTTCATAGGAAATAGTGTACTGCCTTTAGTGAATATTTATGAGCCAAGTCCTACGCACAGGCAGTGACATGAAAAAGCACTGAGGGCTGGATTGAGAGGCAAAGGAACCACTGAGAAAGGCAATCCCCTTGGTGGATCAAATGAAAATGAAGAAAAGCTTTGAGACCAGTCAAGGAAATCCATCAGCCTGGAAGTCACATGACGCAAATTTGTGGTGTAGAAATAAGAACAAAAATTAAAAATCACAGTAAAAACATAGGCAGTGTGTAGGCCTGGCTTGACGTAACTAACTTGTCTCATGTCTTAGTGGGAATAACTGGGAGGGTGAATGGAAGGTTAAGTTGTAAATAGGGGCTTGACAAACAGTATGCTGGAGTCAGAATGTCTGTGCTAGCTAAGATAAGCAGCAACACCCTGATGGTTGGGGGTATGGACAAGATAAACCTGGAATGTAAAGATCTGATTTCACATGGACAGAGCATGCTGTACAGAGATTGGTTCCTGCAAAGTAACTAAGCCAATCCAAAAATGTGTGATTTAACTGTATAGCAAATGCAATGTAATGTGTAAACATACACAGAGGAAGAGGTCATCCATGTAACTTTGGATGTTTGGTACACCCTATCCCCACTCACTACGCTTGAGTCTGATCAACTCAGCAGTGTGCAAACAGCAGGAACCTGAATGACAAAATCCAGAGCCCTACTGAGTGTTTGGGAAGCAGGTGCTGGGATACACCATCCTGTGGGAGGTGAAATAAAAAAGCCCCTCTGCCCACTCACCAGGGTTTTGCAAACACAGCAGGTGGCTCATCCCATCTGGGGTGGCTCAACCCTTCCGCCACTGCCTGGGCCAGGGTTTTCCCCTCTGCTACTAGCCGGTGGTGCCTCGATCCTGTTCTTGATCCTGGCTCCTACCCCCAACTCTGTCCCTTGTTTTTGCACTTCAACCCCTCTCCTTCCCCTGCTTCCAGCTGTGCAGCCAGTTTGGCCTCTCCCCACCTGTCCCCTCTGATTGTTGCCCATAAGCAACAGGGAGTAGATTGCTACACCAAGGGAGGCAGGACAAGGGCAGCAGCTGCAACTGAGCATTCTCAGTTCCAGTGATGCAGGGGTGCTGGAACAAGTTGTATAGCCTATCCCACTCCTTAAATTTGTATCTATGGCCTTTCACATAAAAATACATATTTCCAAAGCCAACATATAAGAGGGAGATACTTGAACCATAATGTCCTTAGTTTATTGACCACTGGGGCAGGCTGCACGACTCTTTTTCCCTACCTAGAAGTTTTAGGACTGTTTTCAGGGTTCCAACCTTCTTAACATTTGTTTTTGCCACTGCCTGGCAAAGGAACACCTGAAAGCAGGAGAGAAATTGATCTTAGTTCACTGAGCTCCTCCTAGCTGTAGTCTAGTGCACAGCACCAAAGTTTGTCTGACAAAGCCAGTGTTAAATGCCAGGATCTTCTGCAGAAGTAGCTCTGTGGCATCTTGCCTTGCCAGTTCACACCCTAAGAGGAAGTGAGGGTAGGGGAAGGACTGCAGCCATAGTGGAGGCCGTAGCACTGATCTCAGCTCTGAGCAGTGGGGATCTCCTTCCTCTGACAGCGATCCCCCAGGAGTCTGGCTACGCAGAATTGAGTCAACTTCTGACACGTGTTACAAAAATCCCTCCACAGTAGTGAAGATACTTATCTGCAAGAGGAAAGGAAAGAACTTCTTTCTGTTCTGTAAGCAGCTAGTGATTAGATGAGAGCACAGGGCTAGGTCTCAACATCACTTTTAAATAGTTAATGAGACAGTTTCTATTGACAGGTATGGTAAAAATATCAGGATGCTGGAGTCTTTAGTCAGTATCCCTTTTATTGAAGAAAAAGGCCTATTCCAAATAAATAACGGGCATCTTCAATTATAGTTTCAGACAGCTGCAGCGGCATAGGAGCCAGCAAACAGAGCTGTAAACAGGGGAGTTGGCTTCTTTCTGTAGTATTACGTTAAAAAAAAAATCTGTAAATGGAGAGTAAATTTGAAGAAAGATCACATGAAACCAAAACTATAATTGAGTTCCAAAAAGAATGAGAAGTTCATGGAGGATAGCTAGGGATACAACCCCATCAGGGCCGGCTCTGGCTTTTTTGCCGCCCCAGGCAAAAAAGCCGCCCCCCCACCCCCGCGGGGGGAGGGCACCGGGGGGGAGGGCGGCCGGAGCGCCGGGGGGAGGGTGGCGAGCCTGGCCGTGTCCCCGCTCGTCCCCGGGGGCCGGAGCGCCGCGCCGCCCCCCTCAGGTGCCGCCCCAAGCACAAGCTTGGTGGGCTGGTGCCTGGAGCCGGCCCTGAACCCCATGCTCCGAGTGTCCCTACTCTCTGATTGCCAGAAGCTGGGCCTGGCTGACAGGGGATGATGGATCACTCGATAACTGCCCTGTTCATTCCCTTTGAAGCACCTGGCTAGATGGACCATTGGTCTGCCCCAGTATGGATGTTTTTATGAAGAATTTACAACATTCCACCTAGTGTCTGGCATCTTTAAATTTGTGTTTAAAGAGTAATACGCATTCGATGAAGGCAGCTTGTAGGCAGGGATCTGAACAGTGTCTCTTGCTGTCTGCAGTTAAAGCCACAACTCACAATCCAAACCATACCACGCTTTGATGGTGACTATGTTCTTTAAGGGGAAACATTTAGCACCATGGAGAGGCTGAATAAGGAACCAGCTGCATATTCAGAAGAGCAAGTAATTTTGATGCTGCCAACTGCCTTGCTTGCTTCAGAAGCCATTTTCAAGGGCAAGAGCAATAATTCACCTCCTGTCTTTCTGCTTTACTCAAATGCAGTGGATTCCTACTACAAGTCCAGCTCAACAGAGGAAAGAAGTTGTAGTGAAAGTAACACCAGTTGCCTGAGAGGGCAGAAATTTTAGTACAAATGCATGACATTTATCTCCTAAATTTTCCATGTTTTTCTTCCAATGTCTGTTAATTTGTAAACCATAGCCATCAGCCAGCATCAGTCATGTATCCTGCAAAAGGAAGATAAATAAATAGTTATATACACCTCTACCCCTATATAATGCTGTCCTCGGGAGCCAAATAAATAAATAAATCTTACTTATAGGTGAAACCGCGTTATATCGAACTTGCTTTGATCTGCCGGAGTGCGCAGCCCTGCCTCCCCCGGAGCACTGCTTTACCGCATTAGAGCCGAATTCGTGTTCTATCGGGTTGCGTTATATCAGGGTAGAGGTGTACTTCAGTCTTACACACATCTTTCTTTAGACTTCAAAGTTCTCATTTAAACTAAACTTTTCACTGGATGTATTGTCAGGAACAAATACTAGTTTTTGTATTATGTGAAACTGCATAGAACAAGCATTTTAAACTCATTTCAGGTTAAAGCAGAGGTTATGGCATTTTCTTAGTGGCAAAATCTTCGAAAAAGCAGGAGAAAACATGCATTATGGATGTGTCAGGGCTAGGGTTAATTTGTCAGTAGAGGTCGTAATTGCAAGGGACAAACAACAAAAAATGTAAGTGTTGATAATTACACAAGCTAACTAACGGAGAACTAGGCTATCTATGAATCTGCTCTTCTCCCCATTATAAAAAAAATGCTGAGTGGAAAAACATTCCTCTAGAAGTTCCACTCTGCACCAGGAATGGACACCTCTGTATATTTACATAAACAACATTTTTATAGCGCGATATTAGTTTCTTCAGTATCTAGTCACATTGAATATTCTTATTTAACAATGGACCATGTGAATGCTATGTAAAATACTGTATAGTCCTTATAAAGTCCATGTGAGCTTCTTTATGATATATATCAGTGACCCCCAGCCTTTTCTGTGGGGCAGGCGCCAGATGACTAGCCGCTGAGGACCGTGGCCGCCAGACAAGCAGCTACCGAAATGTCGCCATGAAGCGGCAACGTCAAGAGGCGTCGCCACCGAAATGCCACCGTGAAGCAGCGTCATCAAGAGGCGTTGCCGCTGAAATTCGGCGGCATTTTGGCGGTAGCGCTTCTTGACGTTGCCGCTTCTCAGCGGCTGCTTTTCTGGCAGCCAGTAGGCGGGCGCACATGGATGCCATGGCGCCCGCGGGCACCGCGTTGGGGACCCCGATATATACTAAACACAATTAAGCTCTTCATGAAATATACTAAACGCAATTACTTTAGTTTACATACCTGTTTTAAAGCACCATGTACTGTAACTACACAGTCAGAGCGCCGTATAATCCATTTGATGAACTAGCACATGCAATGCTGCCTCCTTATAAATGAAATCTTGTATTTGCTTATAATCTGGTTTTATTTATGTATTTATTTTTCCACCCAAAGAACAACATATGATTTTCTCCTTCATTCTTAATAAGGTAATATGGAAGGCTACTGGGAGCACATCAAACCTGTCCTCTGCTCTCCACACTGGCTCAAAAGCAGCAGAAACTTGACTTGAAAAGGTGGGGGGCTGAGGTTTGGGCTCAGAGCGTACATCTACACAGGGTAAAGGGCTTGTAGCATGGCCGTGGCTGGCCCAAGTAGCTGACTCAGGCTTGGGGGGCTCAGGCTACAGCCCAAGCTCTAGGACCTTCTCCCTTCGCAGGGCCCCAGCCCGAGCCCAAACATCAACACAGCAATTTTTCAGCTCCGGATCCCGAGCCCTGCGAGCCCCAGTCAGCTGACCCAGGCCAGTCACCAGGTTTTTTATTCCTGTGTGGACAATCCCAGAGAGCCTGGGCAGCAGGGCAGGCACTCACCTTAGCATGGCAGGTTAAGGAAATGGTCAGGCAGTGCCACTTCCCCACCCTGGGCACCCTGAGCAACTGCTTGCCCAGCTCCCAGTCTTCTGCTCCAGAGAGGAAATGCCTGCCCCACTGAAAGAGATGTGGCTTTGCCCAGCCCAGTTCCATTCCCTGCCTCCAGGTATGCCCTCTCCCCAGTGCCCAGGGTGCTGGGACACCGGAAGAGCAAAGCCTGGGCTGCCCTATTTCACACTCTCCCCAGGCCTAGGGAGATAAAAATCCCCAATGATGGGGACTGCACAAAGAGCAGATTGGACAAACTCCTGTCAGGGATGGTCTAGATAATATTTAGTCCTGCCTTGAGTGCAGGGGACTGGACTAAATTACCTCTTGAGGTCCCTTTCAGTTCTATGTACAGACACTTTTCCCAACCTATGTATTATATACCTTTCCCCCCCCCTCCCCCAACATTAGCTTGAATACAAATTTGTGTGTGTGTTATGCCTATTACAAACAGGGGACACAGACATTCAAACTTTATATCATTCTAACATGGCTTCTCAGAAGCAATAAACATTAAAACATTTAGCATATAAAAGATTCAACACAATTGCTTATACTTACGTAGACAGGTGGGCAAAGATGGAACCCATGAATTGTTAGCTTCACATTTAACTGAACTGTTACCATTCAGAGTGTAGCCAGAATCACATTCAAATATTACGGTGTTTCCATTTGAATAGTCAGATCCAAACCCAGACTGCTTTTTTCCATTTTTGACTTCTGGCTCTGGACACTTAACCACTGAAAATTAAAAGTGCCAGCATAAGAACGTTTTGCATAGGAAGCATTTAGTTGGGGGAGGGGTAAAGGAAAGAAGAGAAAGCCCTGATACTTGACTACAGCAGGTATCAAAACATATTTTAAAATAAAGTTATACAACTTTGGATCTTTCCCTTTAATAAGATGTTCATCTACATATAGCACAGCACCCAACTGTATGGCTATCAGGCCCCTTCCCCGCCCTCCCAGTAAACTGCATGAGTTAAACATCATTGTATGAAGCCATCAGGAATTTGGGTCAAGCTATAAGAGATCTACATACAATGACATTCTGGAACAGAACGTCCCTGCTTTTGGGGGAGTTAATATTAAGTAGTGAGGTGACGAACCTGCCTAATGCCTCTGAAAAAGCCTCACTCCCAGCTGTTAGGCTGGGGTTTTATTCTTGCTGAGTTACCAAGTTGTTGCAGCTGCTTGAATACCAAGTACATAAATGCATTGTTAGCTAAATGCAATAGTGTGCGTGAGCACTGTAGTTACCAAAATGAGGACTGTATAATGACCTTTATTTCCCCCTCCTAAGAACTTTATGGCTGTGATATGAACTCACAAAAGCAGGAGCCTTCACTGCCAAGGAGCCCTCCCACAGAGTTCTGAAAAATATGGTTTCCAAACAACCCTGCTTGTAATCTCTCCTTTAGCACTTGAATAGTAGGGTACTGGCATAAAAGCAAAACCTTAGTTTAAGAGTTTATCTCCACCTAAAAAATCAACTGTTTGTGACATGAGAATTAACTGCAATCTTGGAACACTGAAGGGAGACAAAAAATACAGGATATATTAGGGGCAAAATGGTTTCCAGGAATGATTTATGAAGTGTCCGTCATTCTTTAGTTTTCCAACAGTAACTAGTTTTCATTATACAAATTTAAGGGGACTAAGCATTAACTGAATTTCCTCAGGTTTATGGGTTTACTTAGCAATGAAAATATAGTTTTTCCTAAGAGGAGATAGTAGAATAAGAAGGGGATAAAAAACAGATGCTACTAACCTTTGCATTCAGGGGCAGGCCCACTCCATTCTCCATTGACATTATCTTTTGTTATACAATAAATGGAGGCCTCTCCAACAAGAGAGAAGCCCTGGTTACATCTGTAAGTTACTGCTGAGCCAAAGGAAAACTCTTGTCCACTCTGACCGTTATGGGCTCCATGGGTGATATCAGGAGGTGGAAGACAAGGTATTGCTGAAGCAAAATATGTCAACATGAAAATTAAAGTTTACATTAAAGGTGAACTGAAGAGAGTTTTCACTAAGAAAGTTGTCTCAAATCTCCCCAAAAAGCTATTTAGCCATTTGGAAGTGTACTTAACATTGCATTTTAACATTTGAAGCAAGACCCCTTTCAGATTCTGAAGGTTTTTCTGCTTTTAGGCTCGACCCAACTCAGTATGTCCATTGCTCAAAGAGGATGCTCTATAAAACACCAGCTCTGGATGATGACCTTAACCGAGCATGCTCAGGGAGCCAGAACCTCTTGCCCAGCGTCTCTAGAGGTAGTATTGTTCCACCAACAGAAAACTAAGCTAGGACATTTCTTGTAGCAGCAACTGATTCTAGACTGGACATCAGCAGCATGATTGACAGACCAAGCCCAGAAAGCATTCAAGAGATCAAATTAAGGTAGAGGCAAATTAATTGTGATTCACTCCAAAAGAGCCTCAGATTTTAAGTGGATAATCAGATTTGGGAAGGGTCAAAACTTCTTGAAGTCATTATCATGCCTTTTATTTAGTGAACAGCAGGATTACACAGATGCAATAGCAAAGAGGAACCATGAGGCCTGTTGGATTATGAATATTAAACAGTGCCAGGTGAACAATCTAAAAGGTACTTTTTAAAATAAATTGATTCCGTAGGAGTCATCCAAACACCATGGTGAACCACAGTATGATTTCATTCCTCCCCCCAACAAAACTGGCATTTGGATTAAATGCCAAAGTAAGAATAGACTGACTCCTCTGAAGCACCAGCTATGCTGCATCATTGCCAGACATGAACTGTTCCTAAAACCATTAAATTAGTTTACCTTGGCAAAAGTGGAACCTCCTTATCCCGGTCAACTCCATTTCCCAGAAGCACACATTGGCCTAATGTTAACTTGGATTGCAAACCACAGCACAAGTTGGCAAACAGGTCTGTCTCAAAGGAATGTGTGCTCTGCTTAATTTGCTTTTAAGCAATAAGCAGTCATCAAGCAGGAAGAAAAAAACCCTCAAAAAGTGAGGAAAAGCAGCAGGGAAGAGCTTTCCCTACAGACTTTTTGTCAACTGGGAATGGTTTTCAAAGGGGCAGGACTGATACTATAAAAAAGGAGGGTGCTGACTTTTGTGGGACCCAACTGAGAGTGCCAATTAGGGACAAACTGCTTAGAGCAGGGCAGTTAGAGCCCAAGGCTGGGGTTCCTTTGCACACCAAGGCAAACCAAACCAGCCAAACAGAGAAGATTTCGGCTTTACCCCACTGGCTAACCATAAGTCACACAAGCAATTCCCTTAGACACTCCAGTTTTCCAGGATCCCCACCAGTGCCACTCGTTATGGGGACAAATGGTTATGAAAACCAATACCCCAGTAAAAGAAAAGAGGTTCTCTGGATCCCGAAGGACCAAGCCCCAGAGCCAGGTCAATATACAAATCAGATCTTACCCACAAATCAGGCCTTGTCCCTGGGCAGAAGCGCTCTGGGGGCACGAGGCTAGGAGGGATGCCGTGCAGGCAGCAGCCAGCAGGGAGGCGCTACGCCCCAGGGGCCGGGCAGGGGGTACCTGTGGCTGCCGCGGGAGCACACCTCGCCCCTCCCGCACCCCGGGCTGAGGGGCTGGATGTGGGCGGGGCCAGGCCCCGCTTGAGCGAGAGGACGGGGAGGGCCCGGGGGAGCCGCCCGGCGGACTTGGGGCGGGGGGAGACCGAGGGGACTCTGTGCCCGGCCCCCCTCGCCGCGAGCCCCGCGCAGGGGCAGCAGGAGCAGGCGGCGCCGGGGGAAGGACTCGCGAGACGAAGGCCACCTGAGCAACGCAACCGGCGCCCCCCTGTGACTGCTTAGGGCGCCAGGTGAGCCGCCCGGCGGGGCCAGCAGCAGACGGGCGGGGCCTGAAGGCTGCGGGGCGGGGCCTGTGTCGCTGCTGGGCGCTCGCGCGCTGTCCGGGCAGCAGGTGCTGCCTGAGCCGGGGGAGGGGCTGAGGGTTCAGCCCAACGATCGGCGCTCGCTCCGCCCCTTCCGGGCGCGAGCGCAGGGGTCTTCTCACGGTAGCAGCGCGGAGCGCTCATGCTCGGGTTCGCTGCTGGGCTAGTGTCCTTGTTCCAGTCGGTACAATCCCCCTCCCCCGCTCGGCCGCCGGGAGCAGCCCCTGGAGTGGGGAAGGGTCAGGCTGACCCCGGAGCCCTCCCTTACCTGGGCTGGGGAGGGCGGTAGCGCCCCCCCCGGCGCAGGCTGGGAGATGTAGTTCCTAGCTCTCCGGGGAGAGGAAGTGACGTTGGGCAGGGGGACCTGACGAGCCGGGCTGCAAACGCGCGCGGGGCGCTGTGGCGCTGCCTGGCTCGTGCGTGGCCGTTGGAGCCTCTCCCGCGGCCGGAGAAGAATTTTGTGTCTCCCGGCTCTGGGCATGCGCAGCTCGGGGGGGCGGGGGAAGAGACCCGCATGCGCAGAGGCAGCGCTCACCCGCTGCTGCTCCCTGGCGCCAGAGAGCACATTTCTCCACGTAGCAATTTCACATCTATTATAGTGCAAGTAACGGCTACCTGTCGGCATTTGCTACATCCGGTAGCAGTTCC